AAGAAGAAGAAGAAGAAGAAGAAGAAGAAGAAGAAGAAGAAGAAGAAACAAAGAAGAAACAAAGAAGAAACAAAGAAGAAACGAAGATCAAGGGAGGACCTGGGTTCAGTTCCCACCATCCACATGGCAACACACAACCATGTGTAAGTCCAGTTCCAGGGGATCCAACATCCTCTTCTCCCCTTCACAGGAACCAGGCACGTGTGTGGAGCACATACATGCAGACAAAACACTCACAAATATCAAATAAAAATATTTTTAAAAATTAAAAAAAACTAAACCTAGGGAGAACTCTTATTTATTTTTGAGATAGGATCTCACTATGTAGACCAGGCTGGTGTCTGGGCCTCACTATATGTAGACCAGACTGGCGTCTGGGTCTCATAGGGTCTCACTATATAGACCAGGCTGGCCTCAGACACACAGAGATCAAATTGCCTTTGCTGAGATTAAATGTGTGCACCATCACACTTGGAAAAATCTTTTTTATTTAAAGTACAAGATTATCTTTGTCAACATAGAGAATTTAAGCGCCAGGGTAAATGAAATCTTGTCTCAAAACAATGAGAATAAAAATAATGACATCACTGTAATAAAAACTTAACTTATTTAACCAGATTATACACATTATACTTATATGGTCTTAATAAGTTGCTATTATTTCTCTTTTTCCAAAGCTAGTTTTCTCTTGGAGTGATCTCATCAAAGTGTATGTATGTGTGTGTCTGTGTCTCTGTGTATATGTGTGCCTGTGTGTGTCTCTGTGTGTGTGCCTGTGTGTTTGTGTGTGTGTCTGTGTGTGTGCCTCTCTGTGTGTGTTTCTGTGTGTGTATATGTGCCTCTGTGTGTGCGTGGGCCTGTGTGTGACTGTGTGTGTCTGTGTGTGTGCCTGTGTGTGTATGTGTGTGTGCCTGTGTGCCTCTGTGTGTGTGCGCGGGTGCCTGTGTAACATTTATTTATTTTGTCTGTGTGTCAGAGGACACTTTTCTGGAGGTGTCAGTTTTTCCTTTCATCGTGTGTGACTACGAGACCAGAACTCAGGTCCTCAGAGGTTCACCAACAAGCTCCTTTACCTGCTGAGCCATCTTGCCAGTTGACTTGGCTGGTTTGGGAGTGCAGTTTAAGGGTACAGCCATCTTGGTGGGGGAGTCAAGTCGGTGAGACCTCAAAGCAATTGGAAAGCAGAGTCAGGAGTGAGTCAGGCAACCAGCCTTCTAGAAGGCTCAGCGTCAGACGCAGTCCCTCCCAGGAGCTTCTGTTCACAGCATTGAACACAATTCTCCCCACAAAAGACAGTGCGTCCCAGTGTCCCCTTTGAATGCCACATCAGAGCCCTTCAGGCAAGTGAGTCTCATTCTTTTACCCATTGTGTCCAGGGCCTTGCATAGCAAGGAGGTTGTAAGAACTAACGAAAGAATGAGTTAAAAGATACGAGACGTTTGAAGTGATCAAAGCTAAAACCCCTTTGTCCCGGATTTGGGAGTTCAAATTCATGCTAAGACTGCGGATGTGCAAATTGGAGGACGTTCTGTTCAGTGGCCTAAACAAGCAGAGGGAGCACACATAATCATGGGGTTGCACAGCTGTTGGACGTCAGTAGAGTCTTGATTCTTTGGGGACTGAGGGAAGGGTGGAGTCTTGGGCCAAATGCTGGGTCATTTCAACTAGAGTCGGGTGGCTGTGGAAGAGAGATATGGCTGAGGAAAGGAAGTTGAGGGGATAGGAGGGTGTTCTGACGAAGTCTAAGCCGGCAGAACAAGGGGAGGGAGGGGCTCTGCGGGCATGGTAATCTGAGAGGAGATGGGGGAGGGGGAGTCTGGGAGGCGTGAAAGGCAAGAGAGAGCCTTGGTTGAGTTAGAGACCACAGGAGGAGCAGCAGAGAGGGAAAGAGTCAGAGGGAAGTGTGGCGTGTGTGAATGTGGGTTTCTAAATTTGCATATTTTCCCCATGATAAAAAAAGACAGCACGTGAGTCTGTGAGAGGTTATTTGCTACAGTGAGCAGGAGCCGCCTGTGTGAGCAGATGGGAGTCGGAGGGTCAGGGTCAAGGTGGCCGAAGGACGCGTTTAACCAGACGTAAGACCTTCCTTGGGCAGGAGTGTCAAGGCCTGCCAAAGAGCAGCAGCTCCCGAACCTCCGAACCCAGAAGATAACCATAAAGTTTGCGCAGAATGTCCCAGAAGCCGACCCTCCTGTTCCCTGGGTGGACCGGCCACGTTGGATGAGGAGACGCCCCAAAGGATCAGGTTTTCTGTAGAGAATCACAGAGGTTGTGGTTGTTGAGCTTCTCCAGGCCCAGGGGCCCCAGGACTGGGTGGAACAGCCACACCTGCCGGCAGTTCTGAGGAAGAGGGCGGAAACAGCCAGCGCCCGCCCTCCCCTGGCTCTCCCCAGGCTTGCGATAGGCTCTCCTGGGTCACTGTGTGCCACACGGCCTCACTTCCCGAAATGGGCAACTGTATTTTTTAGAGCCTGACATCCTTCCCTAGTTGACCCAAGTGGCATGCCCGGGGGCAGTGTGGGCCCTAGCCCTGGGTGACTGGATGGAGCCATGGCCTTCCACGTTCCTGCTGCTGCTGCTGCTTTTGTGGTTACAGAGCTGTGTCTCAGGTGAGAGGTGGGGTGAGAGAAGAGAGAGACCAGGTCCTCCTGTCTGTCCCCCATTGCCTTTTTATGCTCTATTGTCTTAATGTTTTGTGGGGGAGGAGACTGGGCTGACTAGGTGGGTCTTTGCCAGAGACCTGTGAGAATGCCCATGCGAATATCTGGTCCCAGGGAGAACTCCACCAGGCCTCACATGGATGGTGTAGCTGTATCCTCTACTTTGGCCTTTATCTGCTGGATTTCCTTGGTATGGAGAATTTCCTCATAGAAATTACCTGCTTGGTGTTTGTCTGTCAAGAGAGTTCTGGCTGGTGCTGTTGTGACTCCTTGTACATGTCTGCCCACTTTGAATTCTGTTTTTCTTGGAAAGCTGATGCCATATCCGGTCCCTCTGCTCTGACTTGCAGGGAACCAATCCTCAAAGGCCTTTCCCTAATCATGGCTCCTCTCTGCAGGAGGCTCACCCATTCTTGCCTTCCTGGCTGCCAAGGCAACCCCTCACCACTTCCTGTTCCGTTCTGGGTATGGTGAGGGCTGGCAAACCCACCCCTCACTGTTTGACAGAAAGTGAAGACATAAATGAATCACAGACCCTAGAGGCTTCCTCCAGGTGCCCCTCTGTTGCTCTGTGGGGAGGAGGTTCTTCTCGAAACACGGCTGAGCTGAGGTGAATTTGGCAGGCCTGCTCTGGTCTGACTAAGAGCGTCACCCGTGGCAAGTGGCCTCGGGGGGCTTAACTGTAGCTCCTCCCTTCCTCTGCCCCCTGAATCATCCTGCCACCTCTAGCTCTACTCTCTTCAACAGATTGGGTTAGGAAGGACACAGACCACATTCATGTATTCATTCATACTCATTTTCTCCCTCCTTTGTATGTGTGTGTTACATACACGTGTGCAGGCCATCCAGCCTCTTGCCCCGCCCCCACCCATTGCTGGGTAACAGATGCACAGTGATGGTGCTTGGTGTTTTGCATGAGTCTTGGTTTGGAACTCAGGTTCTCATGCTTAGTAGTCTTCATTAACCATCTCCCCAGCCCTTTTTCTCATTAGAGACAGGATTTTGTTTCCAGGCTAGCCTGAACTCACTAGATAGCCCAGGTTAGCCTTAAACTCTAGCTCTTTCTACCTCATTCTCCCTCATGCTGTTACAGGCTTGTGTCACATCTCACCCCAAGATAGAGAGACCACGCATGTCTAACCTGTGGTCGGCAAGCCCCATGCATCCTGGGATAGCTATGGCTTGCCCAATACGTTTGTTGACGACAAAGTCAAGTCGCAACATCGAACCACTGGATGAACAGTGAATAATGTAGAATTCACTGGCCGGCTCATCAGCAGGACCATAAGTCTGTGTGGCATGCTTATCTTTGGGGTTTATGTAACTATGGATTATTTAAAAATTAAGCACCATGGAGAGTGCTATTTAAAAGGCATTCAGTAGAGGGCAGAGGTGTGGCTCAGTGGTAGAGTGCTTGCCTAACATGCTTGAGTCACTGGGTGTGATCCCCAACACACCATACAAAACCAGCAGGACAGAGTGGAGAGGGGAAATAAGAAGAGGAGGAGGAAATTATTACTAGGGGAAATAATTCTTCATCGTTTTCCTAGACACGGGACCTTCTTGTCACCACAGCAGTTTATTTGCTCAGGCTGCAGAGCTTGGTGACCTGTTTGTGTCTGCACGTCTGTCTCAGGCAGAGCCCTGGTCTGTCATAAATACTAGACATCCCCGAAGACCAGAAACTATCCAGAGGAAGGAACAATATCTGGTAGAGATCTCCTGCTAGGGTTGCTTCCTCATTGGACTGGGGTCTCCTCCATCAGACTGAGAGCGAGCTGTTAGGTTGCCCTGTGCTTCTCCCATCAGACTCCCTGAGGGTGGGGCTGTGCTCCCCCATCTCCTTGAGCTCCACAAAGCCAGGGCTACTGTACCCTTTCACCTCCAGCTGCTGGTTTCAAGATGTCTTCTTCTTCCTCTCCAGACCGTGCTCAGAAAGTCCTGTCTCCCCAGGTCCCTCCAACGAGAATGTGTACAAGAAAGTGTGGCGGCGGGAAGGGGAGTCTCTGACTGTGCTGTGTTCCTACAAGAACCGCCGGAACCGCGCTGAGAGCAAGGCTTGGTGCAAGGTCAGGAAGAAGAAGTGCGAGCCCAGCTTCATCCGGAGCTGGGTGAAGGGGCCCAGCTACTCGATGCAGGATGATGCCAAGGCCAAGGTGGTCCACATCACCATGGAGGCCCTCAGAGTTCAGGACTCCGGACGATATTGGTGCATGCGGAACACGGCTGGGAATCTGTACCCCTTGGTGGGTTTTCAGCTGGATGTGTATCCAGGTGAGCAGACCCAGCCAGAGCTGGGATGGGTGGGGTAGTATAAGATTGAGTGGTTCTTCACTATGGACATCTTCTGTCACCATTTTATGGACAAGGAAAATGAGCTTTATCAAACTCTGTGTGGCTCCGGCCTTGCCCTGTGGAGGAGAGATGGAACTCAGGACCGTGCCATGTTTTCAGTTGTCTGAACATCATATACTCACTGCCCGGCACTGTTACAAGCCTTGAGAATATAACATCATATACTTACTGTTGGGGTGTGCCTGGCACTGTTCCAGGCCTCGAGAATATAACAATGAACAAAACCAGGCACAGTCCTGCCCTATGGGGACCCTGACAGTAACACGCCATCCGACCAATCATGGCACAGCGAGATGCATGTGCTGAGAAAGCAATGGTGAACTAGTTGCATGGTATCCTCGGCCCCAGGAGAGGAGAGCTCTGTCATGCTTGGACGGGCGCCTGCAGGGACAGCCTTATGAGCAAAGGCCCTGCGGAGAGATGCAGCAAGGCCTGCAAAGGACAGGTGTGGCTGAGCCACTCTGCCTGTGGGGGAGGTGATTAGGGGAAAGGAACAGTTAGGTCTATAGTAATTTGTCACATTTATTTGTTTATTTGGGGACAAGGTCTCACTATGTAGCCCTGCTGGCCCCGAGCTCACTGTGCAGACCAGGCTGACCCTAAATCTCTGACCACAGAGACCGCACTCCCTCTGCCTCCCAGGAGCTGGGATTAAAGGTGCTGCACCTGCACCAGTCCAATGCATTGCTTCTATGTAGGCTTTCAGCTTGCAGAGTCGAGTGGTTCTGAGATCAGTGATACAGAGCTGGGTCTAATTCTAACTGCAAAGGAAGAGAAGCAGGCTGTATCTTATGTTGTTCTCCCACATGTATGTATGTAAATGTATGTGTGGGTGCACTGTGTATACGTGGAGGTCAGAGGTCAAACTCAGGGGTCATTCCCCAGGAGTTGTCCTCACTGTGTGTATGTGAAGATCAGAGGTCAAGCCCAGGGGTCACTCCTTAGAAGCTGTCCTCACTGTGTGTTTGGAGGTCAGAGGTCAAGTTCAGGGGTCACTCCTTAGGAGCTGTCCTCGTTATTTTTGAGACAGGGTATCTCTCTGGCCTGGAGTGTGCCAAGTGGGCTACACTGCTCCCTATGCCCAGATTAAAAGCACACGCCAGTGTGCCCAGGTCTGCATGCCTCCAAGGCCAGCGCTGGACCAACTGAGCCATCTCAGCCCCATCTCTGTAAGGCCACAGTCACTGCTGACAAACGGTGGGGGAGTGGGAGAGGAGGCAGTGAGACCAAGGGGCCTGACTGGAAATAGCAGGGGCTTGGACAAGTGAGACTTGGGCACCTGGGGCGCGGGTAACAGATAAATTCAAATCTCGGCTTCTTCAGACTCTGTTTATTTTGGGGTGAGGGAAGATTTGCTCGTGGGGAGGATGGAGGAGAATATTGACTGTTCGGTTGCTGGGGAATGGTAGCATTATGTAGAGGGGAGCCACCAAAAACTTCATATGGAGGGAGAATCACGAGCCCTGTTTTCTCATGTGAAAACATGTTCTGGATTCAGAAAGAGAGAGGAAGCAGGCAGTTGAAGTGTTAATGATGGGACAGAACTGGGGTGTGCACTTGGAAGTGTCACTGTGAAGAGAGTCAAGGGCATTTAAAGGTCACAGCTTAGGGCTGTGGGTGAGTCTCTAGGATAAGGGGTCTCCCCAGCACATCTCAGTACAACTGCTCATCACAACAAAGGGGAGAGAAAAGTCTCTCCTGTGTACAGAAGGACGAGAGCAGAGTCTGAACAGGATGGGGTCCCCACACTTATAGGACAGGAAATGGTGGGGACTCAGGAAGAGTCTGGGGAAATCCACCCATTGTTTTGAGTTCATCCCCTCCACCTGCCCTGCTCCCCTGACCTGAGTGCATCCCCATCCTCTGTGGTCTGAACGAGGAAGAGCTTTCCCTCCCAACTGGGGGCGCCCCCATCTGATAATTATGAAGCAACTGCCTTTATACAACATCATGTTATAGAAATATCTCTTATACTCGCAGTGAGATGGCTCAGTAGGTAACAGCCCTTACCATCAAGCCTGGTGACCTGGTTCAAACCCCAGGACCCATAAGATGGAATGACAGAACTGACTTCTGAAAGTTCTCCCCAAACCTCCATATGTGTTCTGTGGCTTGTGTGCACACGCAAGTACACACACTTACGTCTGTGGCTTGTGTGCACACGCAAATACACACACTTATGTGCTAAGGAAATGTCATTTTAAAGGAAAGTTCTTTGGGGCTCTTGATTGACCGGGGAGCTAGGAACCGGGGAGCTAGGAAGTCAGATGACGCTGTGTTCGGGGACCAGCCTTGACAGGAGGCTGAAGAGAGTGTTCCAGGATCTCCCTTCCCCACATGTCTCCTTCCTGTCTCTCTCTGAAAGAACACACAGCTGACACTCAGAAAACAAGCTCAAAGTCACGGAGGGCAGGTTCTCCTCAGTATCTGTGCAGGGGAGGGGCTGTGAATTCTGTCCCTGGAAGTCAAGTCTCTGGCTTAATCTAATATTTCTTCCTCTCTGGCCCCTCAGCCCTCACAACTGAGAGAAACATTCCTCGCACGCATCTAACCAACACCCTCGAGAGTGGATTTGTCACAACGGGCCAGGCCCCCATTTCAGGCCCTCGTGCCCCCTTCACCCCTGACGTGACTGTGTTCACATCTGGACTCCTCACCTTGGCCTCGGGGACCACCGAGTCAACCCCTGTGACAAGCCACAGTTTCACCAATTCCAGTGTCACCATCACAGAGCGCGGGAGGAGCACAAAGAACCAGCCAGTGGCCGTGTCTCCTAGCGATGTGAGGCCCTTCTCTGCTGATCCAGCGACCACCTCCACCGTGTCCAGACACCTGAGCAGCAGCTTGTCCACCACGGGGATATACCACCCGTCAACCCCCAAGAGGTCATGTGATATTCTCTCAGGCGTGGCCCCAGCTCTCCGAGACCAACAGATCTCAAGAGGCCACTCTTGCCTCCACTCTTACTCCCTATTGCTCCCCAGGAACTCAGTGAAGTCGCTGCTATTCAGCAGTGGATTATGGGAAATGGGGAGGGCCATAAAGGAAGGCAATGGGATGAGGGTCAAGACTAAGGATGGAGAGGAGAGGGCAGGGCCGGGCGGGGGGCTGGGAAGGGAAGTGTGGTTGTTTTACTTGGGTTCCCCCAACCCTGAGATGAGGAGCAACATTTTACCCTGGCACGGGGAAGAGGGCGGAGGGGTCCCAGAGAATGGAGGTCAGCTGGCAAACCGTGCTGAGGCAGCCTCTGCTGTGCACACAGGAACGTCCTCCCACTGGGCATCTAGTGTCAGGTGCCCACTCAAGGCCAAGGGAGCTAGGGCGGCGATGTGCCACCTTCTGTTCTCTGGTGGGGGCAGCATTAGGGCGCCAGCACAATGGACAGTGCAGGCCCTGGGGTCACGTGGAGAGGGAGCTTCTGCAACAGAAAATGGGGTGGGGGCAAGAGGGGTCTTCAGTCACTATGGAGGCAGCAATCTTGATGTCTTGAGCCCCGTAGGGCTATTGTGAGCTACGCTTGTCTTCACTGATGGGGGTTTGAGGACGTGCTGGAGGAGAGGTGGCAGTGAGATTCTGCCTTCTGCCTGCTGACTCTTCCATGACTCCACTGTCTCCTTTTCTCTTCCCACAGCCCATCCCTAAGAGGGGGCATCTACCTGGAGGGAGCATTGTGAGGTCACCCATCGGGTAACCTCAGTGCTTCTGTCTGTCAAAGGAAGCTGTGGCCAAGGTGGGGGACCCGGTCCTGACTCTCTCCTGTCCTGCTTCCTCAGGTCCCAGGAGACTTACCTCACTGCGACAGCGGTAGTGCTGACATTCTTTCTGGCGCCTGTGGTGTTGGTTATGGTCTATAGTTTTTGGAAGAAGAGGCACATGGGAAGTAAGTACAGTCACCTGTGGAAACCATGGCCAAGATCTGTGTCCCTACTCTGAGGACTGTGATACTGAGACTTTGGCTGGGGAATAAACCTCTGTCTGTGCCCAGTCAAGATGACCAGTGACATCCAGGGAGGAGGAGGGTGGCCAGGCATGGGTGGTCCCACATGTCCCTTATGGATATAGAGAAACAATACAGAGGCCAGAGAGGGTCAAAGGTCACCCAGGGACATTGGGGCACTGACAGCAGGGCATAGCTTTTGTTCATCTCTCCCCATGTGTTGTAGGCTACAGCTTGGGCAGCGACTCTGCTAAACCCTGGATACATCTTCCTGAAGGATCAGAGACACTGTGGAAGCCTGCTTGGTCTAAGATAACTCAGTGATCTGGAGAGCTGATGCCAATGGACTCAGAGGCCTGAGAGGACCGAAGCCCAGACAATGGCCCTGGGGCAGGAGCACAGTACAGCTGCCTTCCTTTCACCCAGGGCCACCATGTCCTTCCTCAGCTTCTCTCTGTTCCCTGAAGACGTCTCCATATGTCTGGAGACAAGAGCCAGACTCATGAGCCCTCAGGCAGCCGGTGTCTGTAGAGTCCTGTTCTGGATGAGAAGGGACAGAGACGAAGACCTGGGATCACAGACGAACTGGTACCAGGAGGTCCCAGAGCTGACCAGGGCCCTGTGTCTTCTGATGTGTCCTGACTGTGGCTGCTGGTCCCCTCTGTCCTGGAAGCCTGAGGTTTACACATCACTTGGTTCCTGCCTGCCAGCCTCTCTCGGGTCAGCGAGAGCCTACAGCTGCAAGACCAGCCTTTCCAAGATGGCTGCAAAGGCTGGGCTCCCTGTCTCCAGTTGCTTCCCCCATGCTACAGTGATGAGCTCATGGAGGAGACTGAGGGAACAGACTAATCATTGGCGTGTCTGAAGCCCCATTGAGAGGGCCTTCCTCCAGACAGTGGGGTTGACCACTTATGAGAAAAGATCACGTGGAGCTGCCCTGCTAAAACAGCAGTGGATGGAGGACTAGGTCTGGCAAGTTGATACCAGATTCTAGGCTGGAAAAGATGGGCAGACACATGGACACACAGACATGGACATACACCCATACCCACACACACAGATAGAGAGAGAGTGACACAGAGACAGACAGGGACAGACAGGAAGAGAGAGAGAGAGAGAGAGAGAGAGAGAGAGAGAGAGAGAGAGAGA